TTGGATACCACATGACCAAGGAATACTACCTATTGAAGCCAAAACTCGCACTTTGAGAACTTGGCATATAATCTTTGTCTACGTAGAACCAACAAAACCTTCCTCAAATGTTCTGCATGTTCATCGTTTGTCTTGGAATAAACCAAGATATCGTCAATGAACGCAATGACAAAAGAATCCAGAAAATCCTGGAATACCCGATTCATCAGCTCCATAAACACTGCAGGGGCATTAGTCAAGCCAAAGGACATCACGACAAACTCATAATGCCCATACCGAGTACGAAAAGCTGTCTTCGGTATGTCATCTTCTTTGACTCTTATCTGGTGATAACCAGAACGAAGATCAATCTTCGAAAATACCGCTGCCCCTTGAAGCTGGTCAAATAAGTCATCAATTCGCAGCAAGGGATACTTATTTTTGATGGTCACCTTATTCAGCTCCCTATAGTCAATACAGAGACGGAGTGTGCCGTCCTTCTTTTTCACAAACAACACTGGAGCTCCCCATGGTGACACACTAGGTCGTATGAATCCCTGGTTCAACAATTCCTGTAATTGCAACTTCAACTCTTTCAATTCCGCGGGAGCCATCCTATAAGGAGCTTTAGAGATAGGTGTCGTCCTTGGTTCTAGTTCAATACCAAAGTTGACTTCCCGCTCTGGTGGTAAACCAGGTAATTTATCAGNGTTTACTTCTCGATTCTGGAAGAGTCTTCAGGAAGCCCTTGGTACACAACTGAAGTTTAGTACAGCGTTCCATCCTCAGACAGATGGACAGACAGAGAGATTAAATCAAATTCTCGAGGACATGTTGCATGCATGTGTACTTGATTTTGCTGGCAGTTGGGACACCTACCTATATTTGGTGGAATTTGCCTATAATAATAGTTATCAGGCAACTATCCAGATGGCTCCTTTTGAAGCACTTTATGGACGGAGGTGTCGAACTCCAATTTATTGGGAGGAGGTAGGTAGTAAACCGCTATTAGGTCCAGATTTGCTACGAACGACCAATGAGGCGATTCAGAAGATTAAGAAGAGAATTTTGACCGCCCAAAGTCGTCAGAAGAGTTATGCAGATATCAGAAGGAAAGATCTAGAGTTTGAGGTGGGGGATCATGTGTTCCTGAAGATTGCACCAGTTCGTGGTGTTTTGCGATTTGGTAGAAAGGGGAAGCTTAGTCCACGTTTTATTGGACCTTTTGAGATCCTCGAAAGAGTTGGCCCAGTAGCCTATAGATTGACATTACCACCAGCGTTGGATGCTGTACATAATGTT